AAAAAATGTAAAGTGTTATCTGCATAATTCATACGTTTATATTATTCCTTTTAAGCAATCATCAAAAGATACAACTCCCCACCTCCATCGGATGACATGCTGCTACAAGAAAAGAGGTATCGTATTGTACACACACACACACACACACACACACACACACACACACACACACACACACACACATGCATAATTGTATGTATCACACAGCAGTTGATGCTTTCTTCAGTCACAGAATTAAATAATACCATGGCTACAAAAAATGACCTACAGATACTGAGTGGGAAGCTAATGCTCACAGTGAACACACACAGCACCAGGGATATTGTATTCACACACATAACTAACACATATTAAACAGTACAAACAGTAGTGTATTTGAAAACTCTGCAAACTGTAATGTGTGCTGTTGACACTGTGTGTGTTTAGGAGAGGAGAGGGGAGGTTTAGGAAGAAGCAAACCCCTCGTGATGAAGCTTTGCAGATCCTCAAACCTCAGATGGAAAACCCACCGGCTCCACAGGTACACACACACACACATTCATACACACACAGAATATGCAGCACGCTGGCAGTGAAATCAGTCATACAGGGGAACATTTCTGTGTCCGTCCAGCCCAAACGTCCTGCTGCCCCCTCACCATCTGCGTCTGCAATTAAAGAAGCGGGATTTAAACCCACCAAGAGCACGAAGACAAGAGCACCTCAACGTTCTCTCCCCCTTCCTCCTCCAGGTACTCACACTCAATCAAAGTAGACATCCGCATATTCTAATGCTGACACGACTACATTACTTTACAGAGTTATACTGTAGGTACCTGTGTATGTGCTTGAGTCATGTAGATTCAAGACAAAAAGAAAAGCTTTATTGTAATTGTACAGAACAGGTTCTAACATAATAAATAAAATAAATACCATGTCATTTTGCACTAAAAGAAGAACACTGATTGTACTATAAATACATTCAAATAGTACGCTGGAATACATGTAATTAATGCACTAGTATGAATGTAATTATTGCACTAGAATGAATGTAATAACTGCCAGTAGCGTTGTCCTCGAATAGACAGTCCTCCTATTGCATGTGAGGGGGAAAGGCTATGCCACATCCCATAATATGCAGTTTAAGTGAGTTAGTCTCTTTAATTAAATCCACTTTATTTAATGAAAGTAACTTGTGGGTGCAAGTTTCCACAGATGTTTATAGATGTGCAAAGGAAATTAACAACATGTGCAGCATCTGAATGTAAACGTTCTAAATGATGCTTCAAATCATTCAGTGCAGATTTAATCATTAACATGCACACTTAGTAAATCTATTAAAAAATAAGGACATCGAATTGGGGGAAACTAAAAAGTAAAGCGATTTATTTTGAGCAGTTTCTCGAGAGCTTCCGGTAGAGATTGAGACCATCCAGACACAACTTCATCAGAGAACCAATGAGGAGCACTACACCTACACCAACGTTCCCTGGAGGCTGTACCTCAGGAAGGAGGTGTGTATCAAACTACACACATATCATGAACAGCTCTCACAATGTCTGTATTTTTTACTATTGTGAATATTTTAATTGCTTTTACAGGTTTTTTATCCGAAAGACAGCTTCAACAATCCTCTGGTGCTGGATCTCATTTTCAAACAGGTAACAGTTGAAGAGTGAATGGAAGAAAAGTGCATCTCTTTTAATGTTCATGTAATCGAATACTTGTATTTGTCATTCACCATTGTTTTCACCTCTCGCCAATTGTGTTCGGGATTTTGACCTGACAACACAGAAATCATAGAAATATCAAAGTTAGTTATTTCTCACATCCTCTCTCGTGTCCTCTGTTGTTTGGTGCAGATCGTGAACGACACTCTGTCAGAGGCCTGTGTTCGCATCACGCGGGATGAAAGGCAGAAAATGAAGGGCCTTTTCGGTAATCCGTCTGTTCTTCCTGCAGACATTTCTTTAGACCTTATTCCTCTAACATATTTGTGTGTTGACATTCATGTGTGTCTGTTTGTGTGAATGACAGCTAAACACGCGGTTCAACAGAATATGGATCCTGTGGAAGAGCACGTGAAGAAAACTATCGTCACGGCTGCCAGGGAAACCTGGGAAATTTACTTCTCCCGTCTGTTCCCTGCGTCGGTAAGGATGGTCAACCCTGAGAGGAAAATATTATTGATTGTGTTTGTGAGTTTGTATTGATCCTCTACTGTATGTGTGTGTGTGAGTGCAGGGCAGTGTGGGAACAGGTGTGCAGGTGTTGTCCGTGTCCCACAGCGGTATAAAGCTTTTGAAGACCGTAAAAAGCAGCGCTGTAGCTCCAGACTACTTCAGAGTCTTACGACCATACACGTATGTTCTGTTTTTTAGGTCTATTGACCTTTGTTTTTAAACTCGATGTCAGGTTTCACAGACAATCATACCAAATTGCCTCTGATTATCTTGACTTTTACTTATTTTTATAAATATTTAGATTCAGATTTGGCTTTTTCAGGCTATATAATAACCTGACAGTACATTATTATATATCTTGGTAACATTTAGTTTAGTATGGAAGGGGAACATGGTCACGATTTCTAGTATAATGTGAATGGACTTAGTTAAATATGAAGAAGTTGAAAAACGATGACTGAAAAATATATGTTAATATTTTAATACAAATAGTGGATGAATCTTTAAGTCATATACTGAAATAATAATTGTATTTATTTTTTAAATAGTGGGACAAAGGCACTTTTTAAAAGTTTAAAATAAAATGGATTTTGCATCGCTTATAATTTCTACTGTAACTGTACCATTGTTATTTATAAGAGTTGGAAGTGTATGCTGTATATCTTACGGATTTCATAATCATATGTATGTATTTATTTCAGCTATGCAGACATCCTGTTTGTAACCATCCCCTCTGAGAACATGCTGGAGTTTAATCTGACCAACGAGAAACTGATCCTGTTCTCAGCCAAGGCTCCGCAAGTCAAACATCTCATAGACACCTTCATCAATGAGATCAAAAAGGTACAGCACACACTTTTCAGTATGCTCAATTTAAATAAATACTGGAATAACCAAAAGTAGTGAAAATGCAAATAACAATACAATGGCAATGTAAGAGTATGCATTTGTGTGTTTTTCCCATGTAGGACTCAGATTATGTGATCGCAGAGCGAAACTTTGTGACAGACGACCGCTCGATGCTCAGTTTTCACAAAGGTGACATCATCAGGCTGCAGGTTATGGACGGGCTGGAGAAGGGTGAGACACTCTGCTACATGTAGTAGAAAAATGTTATTTTATAAATCTTAAATCTATGATCCAAGCGTGTGTTTATGTGTGTATCCCCCAGGTTACAACTACGGCTGTGTGGTGAGGAAGAAGGTGGTGTTTTTGGAGGAGTTGAAAAGAGAAACTCAAGACTTTGGTGAGTGTTCATAAATATCTTTATTTTAGTCTAAAACAAAACCAGGTCTATAAGATTCACCTCCTTGCATTTGGTAGCCAGATGCTAGTGTCATGGCCAAGGATAAATAATAAACAAAGAATCAATTCACACTGACAGCTTCGATAGATTCTATCCTGGACTGTCCCCTGGAGGTGTGATGGTATCATAAGCCAAGGAGAAATAGGTGCAGTGACAGCACACTATAAATGCAGTGTTGTTTCAGATTTATTTTTCAGAGGGAAGACGGTGATGCAATTTGAAAAATATTGATTTATTTCCTGAGGACACAAAAGCTGAAATAAGATCACTGATGAGGAGTAGTCATATTTGACATCGCTTCACAGATACCTGATAGGACAAACTCAGTGTGTGCTTTCACATAGATCTTTGTCATTTTCCCTGCATCTATTTTTCATTTGGACTCTGGCTGTTTGGACCCCAAACCACCCTTACAAACCTTGTTAGGATTCCAGTAAATCCCTACATGTTAACATCATATGAAAGGAGAACGTACATCTGGTATTGTTAATACTGATATATTGCAACACCCCTAATCTTTTCCCTCCTATCATTATTTTATAATTGAACATAGAAGTCAAATGTTTCAGTTGTATTCTCCTTGTAACAGCTGTATGTCTATTTCTGTGTATTTACAGTGAAAGCAAAGAAATCTGGAGTCCAATACCTTGCATGTGTACACACTTACTTGGCAAATAAAGATGATCCTGATAAGCAAAGCTTTCAGAGATACAGCTTTGGAGTTTAGATTTTAGGGTTAACAAAATATATATGCGATTAAGTGAAGGTGTTTGGTTCAGACATGTAGGGTTAAGGTTAGGAAACAATGCAGGGTTTTAATGTAAGTCAATACGATGTCCTCACAATTGACACAAGTACCCAGGTGTATAGTATCTATAATTAGACCAAAAGCTGCATTTTGTGCCAGGTTATCAGCGTGGCCATGAGGGGAGAGTTAAGTCTGGTAAATAAGAGGGAAAAGCATGCAGATACAGATCTGACTTGTGTAAATGAAAGGACTGGAATGAAATGACCTGCTGTTAGAGGAAAAGCAGATAGGGATCAGGACCGCTGCAGAAAGGAGGCTTGTTCAGTGTCACAAAGCAGTCAGGACTGTTTGCTTTTAATGAGTGGTTTTAATCCCTCGGCTCTCTTTCTGTGTGTGTGTGTGTGTGTGTGTGTGTGTGTGTGTGTGTGTGTGTGTGTGTGTGTGTGTGTGTGTGTGTGTGTGTGTGTGTGTGTGTGTGTGTGTGTGTGTGTGTGTGTGTGTCAGGTTGGAAGTTTGGTGCTTTGTTCGGCCGCTCTGGAGCGTTCCCAGCCGAGTGTGTCCATGCCGTCGCTCCTCCTGACTTCCTGTCGCTGCCGCTGGACCGCAAGTCTGAGCCTCGCGGAGGAGCAGGCCAGTTTAATGTATCATCAGCCGTCGCAGTTGCCGTGGCATCCACCATGGCTGCACATGAGATAGATCAAACGATTGAGGTACACACACACACACATGTTTTTTTTCTGTCTGCAACACTGATCTGAGTGTCGGATCTTTTTCACTGTCGATCTCTGATTTTCAGAAGGTTTCCCTTGACGGCTTTGCTGAAGGAGATCTGGATGAGAGGGCTCTTCAGGACAGTAAATATGACATGTTGGAGTTCGCCAAGAAGTACTTCAGACAGGGAAACAACATGAAGGGGTGAGACCCAGAAAGAAAATGTGCACACACACACTGACATCCTCACAAACACACAGAATAAAAAAAAAGTGCCTCAACGCTCTAGAAAGTGGCCTTTTTCTCAAGTTCTGCGCTTAAGTATACTTTTGAAGTTCATTTTTTTTTAGACATTTTTTTTTCTTCACCACATACAATAAGCAGCTATATTTACAAACAATTGATATACACATCATTATTAGTTTCTAAGATAAGACACTAAACAGCATCAAAAGCTCAACCTTAGAAAACTGAAAGATTAAAGTGTTGTTGTTTGTTACCACTCTGCATAATAAGTCTTACTACTTAGTACTTTTACTAGTAATAAAGTATTTTGAGTTTTTTCTAGCGTGGTTTTGCTACTATTGCTTTTTCTGTGAGCCTGTTTAATCTGCATTTGTGTTTTCAGAGATTCCATGAAGGGCAAAAGCAAGAGCAGAGACTCCAGAGAGCCGACTGAAATGATCAAGTTCTCCAAGGTGCTTTCCTTCTTGCTAAAACTCAAAGCATGTTAGCCCATGTTTTCATAATTTGTGTTTTTTTTGGTGTATTGAATTATGCCCATTACATCACACATTTCCTGTATTATTTGATCTTTGCAGACTCCTCTGACCGAGTCTCTGATAGAGTTTACGGACATGGCCATGAACAGGGTGGCAGCTGATCTCTTCCTGTGTAAGCTCTCACCTTCTCTCCTCTAATTACATCCTCTTATTACATTACTCTTATTACACCTGATTCATCCTTTGTCAAAATGAGATGTTCCTGTATCGGATTAACTCAAGTGCTTGATTTCTCTGGAATCTGCTATTGGAGATTTAAATATTGTTGACCTGTGTGTGTCTCTGTGTAGCGGTGATGCGTTTCATGGGTGACGCTCCCTCAAGAGGATCGACAGAACAGGAAGTGATCACTATTTTCCTCAAGGTAAATACACACTTGTTTTTCTTAAGCTACTATTTACATTTTTTAATTACTTTATTTATTTATATTAATACTTACTTTCACTTTTAATTTGTAGCTTATACATAAAGAATCAACTTTAGTTTTTTTATATTTATCTTTAGTGTTTTTTTGTTACTGGAAAAGAAAACTTAGTTCGTACTTCTTTAGCTTCGTTAAAAGGCATTTCATCTACTACAATATTTAATAGTATTTGTACTTCTATGTATTTGATTTCTTATTTGATTCAACAAGTATGGACTCTTATGTGAAAAACAGCAGTGATTAATTGTGAAGCAACTGCTGCATAGCACCATCTCCTGGAATGTGAAGTCAATTTCGGTTTCAAACTCAAGAGGTTACAGCAACTCATGCTGTCTGCTTTTTTTCTGTAGTGACATATTACAACTGAGAATTACCTGAAACAAATACATTTATTATTTATTTTAAACCATGCAACTTTTTTTTGCCGTTAGAATATTTTTCCCGAGTTTAATTTTAGTTTGACGATGATAACCCTGCTGTGTGTGTGTCCGCCCCCCCACCCCCCCACTCTCAGCTCATAGGAGAGTTCACCTTGATGCGGGATGAGGCTTATTGCCAACTCCTCAAACAGCTTACGGCTAACACCAGCTCCAAACCGTGAGTTTCCCACATCAGCAACATACACACATAAACCAACCCACACACCGTGCTCCTCTTTCTTAACCGAGCGTGTAATCCTGAGTGTGTGTGTGTGTGTGTGTGTGTGTGTGTGTGTGTGTGTGTGTGTGTGTGTGTGTGTGTGTGTGTGTGTGTGTGTGTGTGTGTGGGTGGGTGTGTGTGTGTGTTCACCCTTGTGTTGTTCAGTGATAGTTGCCAACGGGGCTGGAGGCTGCTGTACATCCTGACCGCCTTCCATCGCTGCTCTGAGGTCCTCAAGCCCTTCCTGCTGAAGAACCTGCAGCAGGCGTCCCGCAGCGCAGGGGTGCAGTATCAGGGTAAAACACACACACACATCATAATGCTGTACACATTGCCACAAACAGCAGGATGTAATGTTTTCTTTTTAATTTGTTAGGCATCGCTAAAGCATGTGAGCAGAACCTGAAGAAGACGTTTCAGTACGGCGGCCGTGTCGTTCCTCCCAACAGCATGGAGCTGAAGGCGGTGATGGTCAGGGCCGCTTTTATTTACCTGCAGTGGTGTGAACATCTGTCACTATTTTAACTGACATATATTGAATATAAACCTCCCTTTCCTCATGTATGTGAGCCATGTACGTAAAAGAACTGTTATATATAATTGTAAACAATATGTTGATATATATATATATATTTACATTTTTATTTGATAGTGAGAGTAATACTTTTTACTTATATTTAGATTCCATATCAACATTTGGCTTAAAATGTTGACTTGGATTTAATATTTAGTTTTAGTGTCAGCATTAAGATATTAATTGAATACATAGATACAGATTCAACATTTGGATTTGATATTTAGATCTGGATTAAATATTTAGATTAATCATTTAGATTAAGATTTAACATTTATTGTAATGTTCGACACTTATTGCTATCTCAAACATATTTTAATAATCAAAATATATACATTAGAAAATGGTAGCTGTATTGTTACATTTGGGCTTCTTCAAGGGTGTAAAAATAATAGTTTTATTATATTTTATATTCATTATTATTTATATGCAGTTTTCTGTGGTTTAAGGTCCTAAATAAATCAGCCATATACCAACATGTCCAGTGTTATGTGCAGCACTATATGAGGATGTTTGTCTTTTTTCTCAGGCCGGACGTAGTTCAAAACGTCAGCTGTTTCTATTTCCTGGTGGCATTGAACGTCACGTGAAAATCAAAACGTGTTCTGTAAGTGTTCATTCACACTATATTCTTTCATCACGACTGCAATCTAAGGGAGACAGCCGTAATGTAATGTGTGTGTGTGTGTGTGTGTGTGTGTGTGTGTGTGTGTGTGTGTGTGTGTGTGTGTGTGTGTGTGTGTGTGTGTGTGTGTGTGTGTGTGGGTGTGTCGTGTTTCCAGGTTGCTCTGGAGGTGATTGAGGAGCTGTGTTATGAGATGGGTTTACACAAACTGGAGGCCATGGAGGAATATGCCATATTTCTAGTCACCAACAGAGGTTTGCTCACAGAGGTCTCCCTCTCTCTCTCACACACGCACACTAAATGTTGTATTGGTGCACAAAGTCAATCTCCTCGTCACTGTCAGCGAAGCAGATCCACTCACAGATCACATGTCAGACTGTCTTCTGGTTTCTGTGGGAGAAAGTCATTCATGTTCACGAGTCCTGATCGGGCTGTCATGGCAATATAACGAGAAATGCTGGATATCATCTTTCATTTCCGATATCACAAGACTGCCAATAACCGGCCAGTACACATTTCCATCTTTATTATTTATTAAGACGTGAGGATACCTTTTGTTTGCACGCTGTTTATCTGTATAGTTTTATTGAAAAATATGATGCTCCAATTGTCAATCACTTATCCAAGTAGTTCATAAATACATAGTTACAAACACAACATAATAAACATTTTACAGTATAAGAAACTAGAATTGTGGTTTTTCCTTTTTTTTTCTGATGGAGATTTTTTATGTCACTTATTGCTTGTACAAGTTTTTCATTTTTTTTGTTGCTTCAGCCATTTGTATGTGAATTACTCACCCAATACATCGTATATTTGAAGGAACCACTATTTTCCCAGGGCCTCTACGGTAAAACACTTCAAATGTAACAGTCTCGTGCTTTCCGAGACTAGCAAGTCGTCCATGCAAGGGTTAAAAATGATGTGTTTGGGAACATACAACTGGATGAACAGGACGTTTGCCTTTAAACCTGGCCCCCCCATTTCCTCCATTCATCAAGACATTTCAGGGTAATCATGTCAGTCGTTTTTATTTATCTAGAGTTTGGAAGATAACCAAATCGTTCCATCGAATATGATTTATATAGTAGTCAATGCTATTCTTTAGATGAATAAGAATATCTCTGTGTTATAAATAATTGTACATGTATGTGTCCAGGTCAGAATGTGCGTCCCCTGAACAAACACGAGTACATCCTGGACGTTGCGACAGAGGCGGAGTTGGTGGACACGAGCTACAGCTTCTGGTTCAGACGAGTCGTCTGGACTCAGCCGCTCAAGTTTGAGAACGAGCTCTGCGTCGCCATGCACTATAACCAGGTACCATTAGTGAAACTTTACATACATGCAGTATATGTTACCTACTTGTGTGTATGTAACTGTGTTTGTGTGTATATCCAGATCCTGCCAGATTATCGTAAAGGCCTGCTAAATATTCTTCCACATGGGAAAGTGAGCGATCAACAGTTTCATCAGATCTCCAAACTGGCAGCTCTGCAGCACAGAGCCAAAGACATCCTCTTCGTCCCCACCATGTAAGAAACCAGCAACGTTTGACAATGCAGCCTCAGTCATAAAGGGAAAAAAAAGTCTTATTTCTCTTTATTTCTTTACAGTTTAGGGTGCAGAAAACAAACTGCTATCATTAAAAGGACTTTAATGAAAAGTGGTCTTAATATAGAGAAGAACAGGGAGAATGTACATACCTCAAGAACAATAAAACAGTAGCAAATGAATGTACAAAAGAAAGGAAACCCAATTAAAGGTAGAACCAATGAGGGTAAGGCCAAAGGCACAAACAGAAATAAATACAATCAAATTATTAAGCTCAAATAAATATAAATGAAAACAGTATCGTAAAAAAAAATATATCTAACATTTCCAAAAGCCTTTCCAAATAGAAACGTTTTTAGATCACATTTTATTTACTGTATTTGTATAAACGCACTTGTGGAAATATACATTTAGCCAAATTAATATTTGGTCTGAAAGGAAACTATTTTTCTCCATCCCATAATCCTATCACTGTCTTAAAAGTAAAACATTGTGCAGTGTGGGTCTGGTTTAAGAAACTCACGGTTGAAGAGAGAACACAGTGCAGTCAGTAGTTTAGGTGTTTAAAGTGTGTGATACTTTATTTTTCTCAGCTGTAAAAACTCTTGCTGTTATCACCACACACACACACACATACACACACACATACACACACACAACAGCAGAACAGAAATAGCTCAGTGAGTAAAACCATCCTGAGAAATGTTTAAAAAACACTGAGTGGAGCAGACTCATATTTATCTTCTTCTCTCCTCCAGACATGAACTATCGGAGTACATCGCTCCACCTCTGTTCAAAAAGCAGCCACCCCAGCAGTGGGTTACCATGGTGACGCAGCACATGCAGCAGGTGCAGGCCCTGAACCCGCACCAGGCCAGAGCGCAGTTTATGGGTAAGATCTCCGCTTCACGTTAAATTGGAAAAACTCAGTCTTTGGTAATTTTTTTACACATTCTCCACATATGTGTATCTACCTCCTTTGTCACTGCACGTGTACACTTCTAGACCTTGAGTTGAAATTGTCGAGAAATAAATGTTGAGCGCAGTTAAATATTTAATTAATCTTCATATCGACTGGAATAGTAATCTTCATTTAGAACACCTTTTTAAATAAATGTGGCTTAACACAGAAAGTATTTGTTCCTTAAAGGGAAAATGTGCCCCCTCTTAAAGGGATGTCCAATCAGTGTTGATGTTTGTAGACGATATGAGCAGTACATTCCTCAATGGGGGTTTTATGGAGTAAGAAAACTGATCTTGTCTTCATTATCTGTTTTTCTTCCTGCATCAGGCATTTGGGGGCAAGGGAACTCAGCTTTCTCACAAACTGAGGCATAATGTTACTTTAAATGACGACATTTACTCCAAACACTAATTGGACATACACATAGAGTGGCCATTTTCTCTTTAATGATATACTACAGTGATTTAGTTTTCCTGTGTAATGTTTGGAGACAGATTAAGAAAACTCAAAGCAGCAGACGCCAAGATTTGTTTTACTTTTAGACTCTAGTATGGGTTATAGCTAAAAGACAATAGATCCTATGTTTTCCATAAAGCAGCTCATGTGTGAAAATGCCGAGATTCCCACTAGTAACTTCCTGAGAGTAACTCTGTTTGGACTGGACAATGTTCATTCTCACAGTCTGGTTTGGACTCCTCACAATGAATAAATTGAACTAAAATCTGTGAGGTGTCCCTTTTAATAAGGTGATTGTTTTGTCTTTCCATGTGTTGCCTCCTAAGGGACTACAATGTCTAATCCCTCATTTGTTAAATTCTGTTCTCTGTGCTTGCAGGGCTGATCAGTGCATTCCCCATGTTCGGCTCCTCGTTCTTCTACATCCACAGCAGCAGCTCCACCACCTTCTACGCCCCCTGCATTGTAGCTGTCAATCAACATGGCTTCCACTTCCTGCACAAAAACACACACGTAAGGAACCACACACACACACACACACACACACACACACACACACACACACACACACACACACACACACACACACACACACACACACACACACTGGCGATCATCAAGCCCTCGCATGACTCAGCTCATCGTGATCAAAACATGAGCCCAGAAGTGAAGTCACGTACGGACGGTGGTGGAAAGTTACTACTTGATTGTTATTGTGTGGTACTTATACTTGAGTATTTCCAGTTCATTTGACTTAACACTACTACTGCACTACAGAGGAAATGTCTTACTTTTTACCTAATCAAATACGATGTATTATTTATACATGACTTCCCTGCAGTATAGTCATTTAAATCAGCTCACACTTTAATTAATAAATAATTATAATAAATATGATTCTGCATAATGAGTAGTTGTGTATATTTTGAGGCTGATACTTTTATACTTTCAATTGAGTCAATAGTCCTTTAGTTACATAACATTAACATAATACTTTTTAAATATACGATTTTTAATTGTACTAAGTAAAATATCTGAATAATTATTCCACCACTGGTCATTTAGTTTCAGCAGAGAGTTGTGAAGTTTATAATGTTTGGTCCCTGTGGTGCAGGAGCTGATGGCAATGGTCCCCCTGGTGGAGGTGCAGTCGAGCCGCACCCAGAGGCCCACTGCTGGTTCCAGTTACCCATATGTAGACCTAACGCTGGGGGACACTAACACACAGCGGGTCGTTCAGCTGCAGCTGGAGCAGGTATTGTGCAAACACACACAAGGACACTCTTCATGTTCATTTCAGTGGAGTTGCTTTGTCACTGTGCTCATGTCTGTCCGCAGGGCCTGGAGTTGTGTCGAGTCATCGCCATGCAGGTGGAAAACATGCTGTCTGTGCGCGAGAGGAGACTCACCCTGCCTACCAGCGAGATCACTGTGTTATAACCCGTTTTATACTATTGTTATAACACTTTATTCATTGTACGCACATGTAGTGGTGGAAAGTACATTTACTCAAGAACAGTATTTTTTGGAGGTACTTTAACAGTTCTTGAGTATTTCAATTTGTTGATAACTTTATAGGTTCAAATTAATCAAATTAATCAAACAACATATGACCAGATACGAAAATAAGATTTGCATTAAGGAGGAAATGAAACCAAGCAGCTTTTACAGTACAACATAGGCCAAGATGCAACATTAAAGATCTACACAAAAATGCATCAATAAATATGATTCAATATTTATCTTTTTCCGGATTGGATCATTCTGCATATTTAGTACTTTAATTTGTTGGTACTTTGTGTATATTTTTTATGCAAAAACCTTTGTACTTCGATTTAAGTAAGATTTGTAATGCAGGACTTTTACTTGTTACTGAGTACTTCTACAATGTGGTATTGCTACTTTTAATTAAAGACCTAAGTACATCTTCCACCACTGCACATTTGTATGAACACATGGACAAAACCGTTATTAAGAGCCTACCTCTTCTTGCCTTCAGGTGTTTTAATTTGATATGAATCATGCATAATTGTACCCTGAAGCCAGTTTCCCTTTTACTTGACAACATTAACAGAACACATTGCATCAGTGAATTACTAGTTTTAAAGTGTACAGATACTAGTAAAGAACAGTGGTGAAGTTTAACAGGCCTGTGGCTTGTCATTACAATGTTTTTAAACTGATATGTAACATGTTTTTTATTTTTTTATTGTTACTGTTTACTGTAAAACTTGATCTTGGTGTATACCATTGTTGTTTTTAACGAACACTAATGCATCAACTTTCTTGTTTTGTAAAGAATATTTTATTAAAATAAAAAAAGCTATTTTAAAGAGAGCATTATGAGAACTTCTGGCCTGACTGTTTATTTAATACTAATGCCAGAAAGTAGTGCATTTAAATAATAGATTACCAATAAGTTGGTCCCTAGGAAATCGATATGTTAATTTAATGAAATAATAGGGGCCCGCCTTGACCCCACAGCTCATGCGCCATTCAATAACCCATTAATATCTGAATCAGAATCAAGTTTATTGCCAAATACATTTACACAAGGAATTTGCTTTGGTGTACGATGGTGCAAACATACAAAACATAAGAAAAATAAGTTGTAAAATAAGGTCAAAACTATAACTATTATAAAGGAATATATTTTGTAACTATTTAACATTAAACATTAAAATTTCACAAAATATAAATATACAAAAGAAACTAAAAAATGAATATATGACAAATGCATATTGTATTACTGAAAAACAATATAACAAACTGTAAAGAACAATGTGATCTTTATAGAGGTAGACAAAAGGGCAGTGTGACACAATTAGCTCTCGTCTTGTGCGTGCCCTCAAGGCTCCTAAAATGGATTTACGTGGTTCCGCTCAAGGCACGTGACAGTCTTTCCAAACTGGCAGGTCACCACAGCGCATGCGCGAATGCTGTAGCATGTTAGTTACACAAGTTTATTTTCAGCCTTTTTCTTGGAGCCGATGGTGTAAACTGAGCGTGGTGAAGTCTTGTGCTTTATTACAATGATCTCCTTGGATTTTTGACATTAAACCCTAAGAGGAAAAGTGCCCGGAGCACCGAAGTTTGGACATTTAACGTTGACATGTTGCTGCGTGGTTTGTCGGTTTTTCCAGGCGGCGACGGACAGACCAAGCCAGGCTAGTTTAAGCTAGCTTAGCTGCCAGCCAAGCAGCTCGGATATCCATCGTTAACCTCTCTGCTTGCTGGGCGTGTTGCAGTATCCAAGCAGCGTTGATTTACAGGTTGTAAACGGTCATACAATCTAAGGATTCATAACCAGGCTGCTTGATTGTGCACGCAGGACGTCGGAGGAAGCTAATGCTAGCTACTGCTGTGGACAGGTCCCCTAAAGCGAGTGACATACACCTTAAAATACTCCTTTTACATCCATATTGACTGTTGAAGCAGTGCTGACATGCAGCGCTGATATATGCTAACTGTTAGCTAGCAGCTCACGTCGCACTACAGCAGTCAAATAGTTGTGGCTGACATGGCATCCAGCGGGTACTCTGACCTGAGGGAGAAGCTGAAATCCATGACCCCACACAGGGAGGAGATCAATAATAAATTCGTGGACGGGATGAGTAATGGCAGCAGTGGGAAAGCTCGAAAACGTAAGATCCGAGAGTCCGACGACGATGAGTTTGAGCACAGCGATGACTGCGCGGAGAACATGGAGCAGGAGGCCAGCCGGGTGAAGAGCAGCATCCTGCAGGAGAGCATCTTCAGCCCGGAGGAGTGTGCCCTCATCGAGGAGAAGATCGACGACGTGGTGACCAGAGGAGAGGCTGGACTTTACCGGGAGCACACCGTGGACCGGGCGCCCCTCCGTAACAAGTACTTCTTCGGGGAGGGCTACACTTACGGATCACAGCTGGAGAAGCGTGGCCCGGGCCAGGAAAAGCTGTACCGCAAAGGAGAGGTGGACGAGATCCCGAGCTGGGTGCACGACCTGGTGATCAAGCGCCTGGTGTCCAGAGGAGTGGTCCCGGAAGGGTTTGTCAACAGCGCAGTCATCAATGATTATCAACCAGGAGGCTGCATTGTGTCGCACGTGGATCCTCAGCACATCTTTGCACGACCCATCGTGTCCGTGTCCTTCTTCAGTGACAGCGCGCTGTGCTTCGGGTGCCGCTTCCAGTTCAAACCCATCCGGGTGTCGGAGCCGGTGTTTGTCCTGCCAGTGAGGAGGGGGAGTGTCACGGTCCTCAGGTGACTATGGCTGTGTGGCTGTCATGCACAGATTGCATTACTTTAGTGTGTGTCTGTCAAGTGTAGGCAGTCACGATAACTACTTGGACTGTATATGCATTAATAAATATAACATTGTGATATTCAAGTGTATTATATTATCCTACCCACCCATCTGTATCAGTAACAATTGGGGTTTACATTTGGATGAGCAATTCAGTTAAACATTTTAAATCTAAGTATTCAAATAAATCCAAAATAAACGAGGCAGAGTAAAAATAAACCCTAGGCAACTCCTAAAATGCACTCTAGGTCTCTTAACAAACAATTGCACTTGAATGAATATTGAACATTTGGCACAGTGGTGTAGAGTCATTCATGTGCTAACAGTCAATCTCCTGCCAATCCAGTTTGTCAATGGCTACGAACTTTGTTAATAACAATACAAAAATAGGTTTAAGTTGGATAAAACAACAACAGTACTTTAATTTGCTTACTTAAAATATTCCTGCACCAGTGCTATAGATAAGTCAACAATGTAAAGAAGAGGTTGAGTCCATTTATTGTATGAAAGTTTGATAACATATTTTGAATGAAAGGCTAAGTCCAGGTGCTAACAGCATATTTCTCTCTCAGTGGTTATGCAGCTGATGATATCACCCACTGCATCCGACCCCAAGACATCAAGGAGCGGCGTGCGGTGATCATCCTAAGAAAGTGAGTCAACATCATATAATTTTAAAAGGTCATTCTCTTATTTGAAATCAGCACTGATCATTGTGTTTCTACTTGTCCTCCCCCTTCTGTTTGCCAGGACCAGACCTGACGCGCCTCGAGTCGACTCTGGCAGCCCTATCAGCGCTTCTCCTGTAGAGAGACCCACTCTGAAAGCCAAACGCACTCATCGCAGAGCAACATCAAGTGCTGCTCACAGGTACACACACACACACACACACACAAACACACACACACACACACACCCACACACAGGTCTGTCCCGCTAGATTCGCCTAAACTTCAAAGAAGACTTGTTCTGAAGGAGGCCTCAGGACAGTCAGTAGGCTTGTTTGAGACAAGCGAGACCTGCGCAGACCTGCGCAGATCTGCGCAATTTCGATCAACGTCTTGCTAGTGCGTTGCATGATGGTTATCATTTTGTCCGACTTGCTCCGGAGGCTCGCTCACATGAGACGTTGAAATCTCGCGGGACAAAGATGCCCGCAGCCTTGAGAGCGAGGCGCGGCGAGGCGGCGCAGTTCCTCTCCACGGGCTGCGGAAGCGAAATGCTTGATGGGAAACGACTCGCTGGTATCTCGAGCTGAGCGCTCATTGGTGGTTTTTACCACGTGCTGCTGATGAAACTCTCCAATTGGCTCGGCAAAAGTTTGTTGTTGTTTTGTGTCAGTTTTACGTCACCCCCCCATTAACATTTTTCATCATTGTTCCACAATGTTTATCATCATGAAATTAATATATGTTATACTATACTTGCACTGCTTACCGTTTTCATACTTTATATATCTTAGCATATTCATACACACTGTTCATACTGCTCACAGGCTGCTGTGTATATTCATACCCCTCACTGTTTATTCATCATTCAATTCATTCTATATTTTATTCTGTAGATTGTGTACATTACTTTTCACTTTACTGCTTGTTGCACTCCCGGTTGGAAGCTAAACTGCATTTCGTTGTCTCAGTACCTGTAATATGTGCAATAACAACAAAGTTGAATCTAATCTTGAGCAGGAACAAATGTTTTTACTTGGTACATATCTGACATTAACGATTAAACACATTTGTGCATTCTTTATGAATGCAAACCGAGTCAAGCCGACTCCGGAGGTGGCGGCATGCACCTTAAAGTTGTTTGCAATCTGCCAAAAAACCGAGAGAAGAAGAAGCCGACTCGGAGCTGTCCGACTTCAGGCGAGCTTTTTGAGACCTCGCCCGGCTGCGATCGGCTATTCTCGTCTACTTTCGAGGCGAGCCGCAACGCGTCTCAAACAAGCCTAGTGATACAAGCTTAGAGGGATCTTGGAACAAAATGTCTTGCAAAAATGGTGGACCAGACTGATATTGGCATACTGACTCATCAATACAATGAAACCCCGACCCCAACCATTATTACTGAACTTAGTTTGGAAACAGCTCAAACGGATCATGGATCTGGGCTCGTGCTCCGTCAGACTTGTTTGAACCCTGCAGCTCTAAAAACGTTAAATAATGGAAATTCGTCTGAGATATTATCAGTACATTCGCAGTGAGAAGGGAGGACGAGCGTCCCTCATTCCCAAAATGATCATTAATTAAGACTTCAAAGGCAAAATAATTAAAAATCCATCAGTAAAGAAGCTTGTAAATGAAGAGACTCCTATTTCCAGCGATCATTACTTTTTTAACTTCCTTGCGCACTGTCATGTCTGAACGAAGCCATGAGGAACACTCACTTAAAAGTGACCTGTGACTGAATAACAAAAAGACATCGCTTTAGCAGATGGATGAAGCCAGTATATATTTTTTAATTGCATGTCTATAAAGGGCTTGAAAAAATAGATCAACCACAAAATGAACAGTACTCATCTGCGTTGCCTTGAATTCTTGCAGAATTTTTTTTGATACACTTTCGTTTTATTTCATTTTTGCTAATGTTTAAGGCCCAGGCATGCAAGGAAAAACAAGAATATTGAAGGTAACACATTGCAATGATGAACCTAATCTGACTTGGCATATCAAACTTTGTCCTTCATCAGGCCGAGGGTACTGGAGATGGACAAAGAGGAGAACAGACATCCGTCAAACTCCCGTAGTCGTCGTCACAGCATCAGCTCAGAGAACTACTGGAAACGTGGACAAGACTCCGAAAAACCCCGGGAGAGCTCAGGACGCAAAGTCAAGATGAGACGCCACTAAGCACTTCTCATCACACATGTAAACATATAAATATACCCTTTCTTTATGCATTTCAATATTGTAATCTTTTTTGACTAGTCATCATTTTTCTTGCTCTAGTTTATGTCTGGCACAAGGAGCACAGTCATCATGGTGTCTGTTTTGATTTGAGTCCGGGTCAGTCTGAGTGCATTATTTGTTTCTTGCAGACAAGCAAAACAAGTCTGTCTGCTGCACAGTTCAGAACCTGAAGTAACTACACTACACTAAGGCTCTGTTGTTAAATTCCCTTTAATCAAACTTTTCTTGTTTCTATGTCCTCAAATATTTCAGAATGGCATGTATTTTTTGTAACCAAGATGTACAGACCACAAGAGCTAAAGAAAAGATGTATGTATGGACTTGTACAAAAGAAACCCTGCGCTGTAATCTAACTTGTTATAATGTACAATACAATTGTATAGCCTTTGATTTGGGGAACTTTTATGCAGAAACAAACTTCCAATTTTTGCACCTACATTTCTGATCCTCACCCTTAATGTGCCATCCCAGACCTTTGTTCCCTTCGGCCTCCCTGTCACAGTTACATTTACAAAACACCTGGCAGATGTGCAGCCATGATGTTCTGTGTTATGATTTGATTCAGATGTATGTCTCCTCTTGTTGTAGGTCACATCGACTGAACTGATGTTTAATTGAGTGATGAAAACCTCAGCGTTTGTTTTGGGCTCCTGTTTCAGTTTGAAGTTGCTTTACCTTGTATAGTGACAGAGGCCATGTTAATGCTTTTCTGTATTAAATCAAAAATGCTCCTCAATTCAATTGGGTGATATTTGGGTCAGACAGAACAAAACCAACTTGTATAACTTGTGTCTGAACCTTTATTTATATATATATATATATATATATATATATATATATTTTATGGTCTGAACACAAGAATGAGAAGGAAACTTCCAGAATAATGTATCCTTCCAATTTGCTTTGTAAACAAAGATTTACAAAAAATTACTTGCTGACTGCTAGGCTAGTCTGGAGTTACACATGGACAAAAAATATCCCTGGTTCATAGAGGAAATTACTCTTAAAGCAGGGTGTGGTGTCTTAATGCTATTCAGAAGCTAAGCTACAGTTGTGAACTTAATATTAGCAAATACTTGGTATTCAGCAAGAGCATCTCCACAGATTTGGTTTGCTATTCATTAAAGCCCCTGTCACACTGTCCCGAAATGGACACACGAATATGGAATTGTGAATTTCGCACGAAGATGGCCCAGAACCACACACGAAGGGAACATTTACATTACATTTAAGACATACAACTGCAACGAAAGTAACACAAACAATTATGTTAAAGTACTATGATACTATACTGATATTTTCAGACTTTGTTCTTTACTTTATCCGTCTTTATATGTAGAAGATATTAAGTTTTCTCCGTCATGTTGTTTCCATAGTAACAACAACTTCCTGTCAACTTGCCTTCAAAATAATATATTATATCCTTTTCAGTTTCACAGAACACAAATTGGGTTATTTACATAATATGTTTACATGATTTTGTTGTGCAATTAACAACCAGATGGACACACGATAAAGGAAATATTCAAATTCGGCTCTGATCGTAGCAACATCGGGCCATTCGTGAGGGCATCTTAAGCCATCGTATGACCACCGGTGGAGTTTCTCAGGCTCCGGCATGCCAAAAAATTGCCGAAGGACCTTGCGAAGGTTCATTTTCGTGTTGAATTTGTGTGTCCATTTTGCCCTCCGTAAGGCCATCGTTAGGGCATCTCGTTATCATCGGTGCCATCGGGCATTCGCCCCGATCAGAGTGAGGGTGAATGCCCGATGGCCCCGATGATAACACGAATATGACACGATTTGACAAGATGCCCCCACGAGTGCCTTACGAAGTTGCCGCTCACGAAGTTGCTGCCGGAGCCTGAGAAACTTCACCGGCGGTCANCTTAAGATGCCCTCACGAATGGCCCGATGTTGCTACGATCAGAGCCGAATTTGAACATTTCCTTTATCGTGTGTCCATCGAGTGTCAATTCCGGGACAGTGTGACAGGGGCTTTAAGGAATAATTCACTCCCAAAATCATAATTTATATATCAATTAATCACCACCAGTTGTCCTGAATTTGTGAAGAAAATAAATGTCTTCCTGCATGACTTCAGTTTGAATGAAGAACCCAAAAATTGAGGAAATTCTTGGTGGATTGTATAAATTGGGAGGCTCCACTAAAGAACAATGAAACTTGAAAAACATCCATCATTTCAATTTTAACCAAACCTTTCCCAATTAAATCAGGTCCGCATAAAGTGCATTCGAAAGTTAAAATAACTACCCAATCGTTGTTTGTCTCCACTTTTCTCAATTAGTAAATAATTTCCTTTTTTTCTTTTCTGTTCGAGTTTTGGAAGTTGCGAACCAGTGGTTAGAAAGGGCCCAGCTTTGTTGAACTAATACATTATATTAAAGCTGTAGCGATTGACAGAGATAAACATTTATAACTATATTTTTGCAATTTTAAAGGACGATTAAGATCGATTCATCTAAAAATAATATGCCTGATTAATTGATGATGAAAGTAATCGTTAGTTGCAGTATATACTGTATATTTTATTTTGCATGTTTTAAAGTTTCCTTCCCACTTTGTGCTCTTATCGTCTTCAAATCAATCAGGGTCTTCATATACGAAAAAGAAAAATTTCAAAGAGCAGTGGCCTCATACTGTAGACCCTCTTTGCTGAATTGAATCAAACGACAGTATTGAACAAATAGTGCATTTTGTTGTCATCCTATTCGACCACTTTCAACAGGACAGTTCACTGGTTTAGAGGAGTTTCACTGTCATCATTTTAAACACATTTTGGCATTGGTAAAGTTTTTTTATCGATCATTGTTTATTTACTTTTCTTGGATCATATTATTTAAGTTAAGACAAAGGGTAAAAAAGTTTGGACTTTTTGCAATTCAATTTCTGTATTCCTCTTATATCTCCTGAATTGTTAAATAAGTTTGTATATTATGCATCCTCGATATTTCCAGAGAGTTATTTATAATTCAATAAAGAAAATAAGTCAAATGTATCTGCTTCTTAATATTTTCAACTGTACAGTTCAAGGCAACACATGCTCGAAAAAAGTTCTCCAAAAGGAAACCGGATGGATATAAATATGAAAGGGAAAGGTCTTTTCAGTTCTCTTTAATAACGTTTTACTGGGTCAAATCTTGGTAGTAAATGCATTAAGTTACAGCTGTCATAATTGTAGTTACTGTTGGGGAATCATTTTCCCTGCATGTCCTCCTTCGCCCACGGACGCAGCTGACCAACCTTGAGCAGCCGTTATCTCCCATAAGGAGGGGCTGCCCTAGCATATTGTTGATGTTACCAGTTTATGACCGGGCAACTCTCTGTCAGAGATAGTTATTGTTATGGGACACCTGGAACACATCCTTCTCGGGGTGTAGATGACCCCGAGCCATAAGCGACAACAAATGTGATTCAGTGTCCTTAGCTGTTTAGTCTATCTATTGAAGAATGTTGATTATTACACTCTGAACTAGTTAAAACCTGGAGCTACAGGAGGGGTCTTCAGAATTGATAGTGGCATCTCAACCGTGTGGTCAGACCGTGGCCCGTGCCATGTCTTGTGAATTCTCCGGCCGTAACTCCAAATAAACCACAAGTGTTTGCTTTCAAAGCTCCAGCTCTCCTCGTGTCCCTCTGAGTCCTGACTCCAATTGCTTCAGAAGTTTCCAACACAAGATGATTAATACCAACGTGTTGTGAAATGGAAACACTCCCGTAAGATAGAAGGATATCAACATTGTACTTACTTAAACTTCATAGGTAACAGCACATTGTTATCTATTCTAAATTGAACTTTTTATAGNCAGGAGCTGGAGATGAAACACTGAGAAGCATGGACGGTTCATACAGGGTAAGAAATATTAGAACTTTGTTGCTCCTCTTTATCATGCACAGTGAGAGAAAGAGCGGATCATGAGTTAAAACCCTCATGCAGAGATGTAACCATTAAAAATGTAAGCATACAAGAAAAAAGGATTAAAGAACTATTCTGGTTGAGATGATTTTTCAATGTTTTGACTAAGGTTATGGGGCTAAGCTCTTCCACGTTTAAGCGTCCAAGAACAAAATTATACGATCAACCTTCATAGGACCTACAACGACAAACAACACTACGAGTCACATATGCTTGGGGCAGAGAGGGCGGTATGGTATGAAATGAGTTATTGGTTGTTGTAATAGAGTTCACTTCGTGTTTGGCGTGTGTCTCATTTTTTTAACACTTATTTTTTGTTTGCGTTTCAATCTTCCTTGGACTACTTTATTTCTATTGTGCGTAGCCGATCAGTAAATTTAATTAATATTATTTATTATATTTCAAGAAATGTTAGTTATAAGTACTTCTCTTCGATTGTCAAGATTAGAGGTAGCGTGGAGGGGTGGTATGGGCGGAGGATGCGGAGAGCGGGGGCCACTTGAAGTGTAGCTGGATTTTTTACGGCTGTGGTGGAAATATCCACAGGAATATTCAGAGACAGGGGCATAGAGAATGTGCTTTTACACAAGTTCGAGCCGTTATGTAATTGGTTAGATATATAGTTATAATATACCTACTGATGTAAATATGCTCTTTCATGTGCCAATTTTATGTTCTGATTGCAAAGTGTTGTGTTATGTATTCATTCATTATTTTTAATTATATGTTGTTGTTGGGATGTCAATAAACAATTTGCCTTTTATGCATATTCTCGGTTTTGTCTTCTCAATATCTGTAAGGGAAATAAGATGAGCTTTTCGAGTAACATTGTGCATATAATCATGATGTCACCATAGGTAAATAAAATCAATGCAATAACATTACTTAAATCAATGTGACACGTGTACTTTCCTTCATGCTACTTTATAACTATACATTTCAGGGAAATGGCAGCTTTAACTAATTACAATCAGATTAATAATACAACATGTGATCAATAAATAGTTTATCATGTGCTACTCAAAAATGTGTTGAGCTCTTGAGGACATTCACAAGCTACCCTGTATACGTTTGGTATTACAATTAGATTTAGCTTGATGTGCTTTAAAGTACATTGTGATGCTTATACCTATGTACTTTAAATGCACAGTTCTTCTACATTGTTGTTTTACTCATTTTACTGAAGTAAAAGACCCAAGTACTTGGTCAACGTTTGGGTCAATGTGTTCAAATTCAGCAGTCGGGCCAGGTGACTGTAATAGAATGTATTGTAATAGAACTGCAACATATTTTGTTTTGAATCCCTTTGTTTACGATCTTCTGAGGAGGAGTCAGGTTGATTAGTCAGTGTCATGAATACATTTACTTTATTTATATTGCATCTTCCATGCACTAGATGCAAGTGCTTTTCCATTTAACAGCAAAAACAGTTTAAAAAAAAATTACATACGTACATCAGTTGTCACAATGCTGTCAACCTTTGATCCGTACTGTATCCCACAAACAAAAAGAAAACAGTACAAAGTAAACTGTTTATCAGTTGCTCCATTTGTTTGCAGCAACATTTGTCAATATCAGAGTCCTTTGGTTAAACTGTTAAATATTAGCCATAAGAATAAGATACAACAACAAGGTGACACAGAATGTATAACCTTAAATAGAAAATATGACCCTCTCTATAATTATAAAAATAGTCAAATCTGTATCTATACGTTGCAGCATGCACATGTATATCACTAACCACTGCAGCAGCATCAACAGGCCTCCTGATGGTAAAGCAGCTAACATTAAACATTAAAGGGGAACTCTGCTCTGACGTTGAAAGTCAGAGTTGAACGTGCTGCAGACATTCGTTGTTGCTGTAACTTGACTAGGAGGGTGGTTGTCATATATTCGACCCCGACGGTGTGACTCAGGCATGTACTGGGTCTATCAATAGAACATGTTCCCATTCTCAGGCTTCTGTACCCCTGGCAAACGAAAGAGGACGTGCACCACTCAGTAGATTTGGTCTGTCAGTGATGTCCTTTGGCTGCTTCACAGGTGCCTGAAGCTAAATATGATAAACAACACTGTGAACTTGTTCAAGTTTTGTACAAATGTAGCGTCTATTTATATCATTGTCACATATAACTGCTCTACAAAAAACAAGCTTACAGGATTTTTCTAATTAAAATCAGAAAAAGCTGCATTATCTGCCGCTATTGCATGATTGGTTCAAATCATCTATCCGTAGGTGTTCACTTTACTTGAAACCTTATTACTCGGAAGTCTGTCATTTATTGTATTACTAGTCAAAATATTAAATGACCTATTGTGTCACGTATTAATGATTTTATTTGTTTCTCCACTAACTCCTGCACGCTTTTTTCTAATGTGTTACCTGTCAGTGAGTGCGTATTTCCTTCATGTACCTTCTGACTCCAGTCGGTTATTCTGACATCTTGACTTTTCTGTGAAAGAGCATTTGCTTTTCAATCATTTCTAGAGAAAACTTTTTACTGCAGTTCATTTTCTCTCTATAACTATAATGTGTTGCTCCTGTCCTCTTCCAAAGGCTAACCACAAAAAAAGGAAGCCATGAACTTTCAGGGCGGTCGGAGGCGAGGAGAGGATGGCATCGCCATGGTGATTGACTTCCTGCTGTCTAATGCCCGACTGGTTCTGGGAGTCGGAGGGGCCGCTATGCTAGGGATCGCTACATTGGCGGTGAAGCGGGTGAGTGTTGTTACTCCACATCAGTGAGTGCTTCATAGGCACTCTTTATTTGGAGAAATTCATTACTGCAACATTTCTGATCTAGGTGTTAAGAGCTGTAGAGCTCCTGAACTCCATGAATGCTTAATGCCCAAATGCTAGCACTTAAAAAGTGTCCAAAAGGTTGCAAGTTTACATATCCACTAATAAGTTGGCAGTTCATTCTCAAGCTGTTTTATTAACTATAGTCTGTTTTGCTGGCAAGTACAGTACATACAGAAAGTTGCAAATAGGTTTATTCCAAAGCTATGTTGTCAGGAGTTAAATCCAGAGGTAAAGGAAATCAAAACTGTTCTGTTTCTCTCCAACATAGTACAGTATCTTTTTAAGTTAAGTTTTGGGTGATATATGGAACTCACAAAAAAAATACTGCATTGCTGTTATGTGCAACCTCAATTACCCACTCTGTGTCATTCAGATATAACTGAACCAATTGTAACATTCATTTTACCATTGTCATGGCCTGGCTCTTGGCCATAACAAAAGTGTGGAAAGGACAAGATATAAGAAAATATGTTTATTACAATAACCCAACTTTAACCAAAACTAATATAAAGGTAAGGCAAAAGCATAAACGAAAGATGCTCTCCCAAAACAGGTCCTCCGCGGAGAGAGCCATCGAGACTCTGGCTCAGGCCTTTTACTCCTCCGGTACCGGCAGCCAGGTGTCCTCAATCAACGCTGACACAGACAAAGAGAGAACATTAAAGGGCCATACACACACAACAGGAGGTAGTAAAGCAGGGGTCGTCACACCATCATTCTTTATCCCTATACCTATGTAATTACTGAATCCTGGACTGTATGTTAATCTGCTGCCTGGACAACAGTGATGTCAAATATGTAAGTTGTAGTTAATGGACTAAAAATGCTGGTCCTGTTAGGAGGTTACTGAGGCTGAGTCTGTCTTTGTGCCTCTAACTTAATTTAGTTGGCCTGCAGGTTGTGACGGTGCACGTTCTCTGTATGTACTAGCGGTGTGTTATCGGTCGTGCAGTTCAGCCTGTAATCTGTGAGTGTTTGTGTTCAGCTGATAGAGCGTGCAGGACGTGCAGCGGATGATGAGAAGGTGGAGCAGAAGATGGCCGAGAGCTGGGAGGAGTTGAGTTTGGTCTCTGCTTCCCCCACGCTGATCAAGAAGGGCATTGAGGGCGTGGTGATGAAACATGTTGCCAAGGCAGCCAGACAGCAGAAAGGTATGAGCTCATCTCAGCACGAGTGTTCAGGCAAATAAAACACACATAAATAACACCAATACACAGAGGTTCCTATCCATCTAGATAATCCACAAGTTGGTAACACATTTTTTCATTCAAAAATTGCAGAAAATGCTTTTCTTTCATCCCCTTAAATCCAGAGATGTCTGGCTTTAATCAGTTTTACAGTATTTTTTTATTTTGGACTGAAAAAATAGCCATTTAAAGAGACCTTCTGGAAGTTTATGGACCAGATAGAGAAAATAATTGGCAGATTAATTGATAATAAAATGTGCTATGAAACTCGAAGAGCGCAGACCTCCGCTAAGGCCAATTGTGCATTCAGTTGCTCCTTGGTTGGTCCCATTTTCCAAGTTAGGAGGTCGTTCTTTAGACCTCGATGTGTTCATTAGCTTTCATTTGGAAGCAACATGGACTTTACGAAGAAGATGATCTGAATTTTGTATTGCTCAGAGCATTTTGCAATGTGTCTGTTTTCGAGTTATTATTCTGACTTGAGGCGACATCCATCCAATCAATCAATCAATCATTCAATCAATCAATCAATCAATCAATCAGTGTTTATTTATATAGCCCAATATCACAAATGTTACATTTGTCTCAG